TTTTTTTTTTTAATTGTTATTCCGTGTTCCAGGACTTTATGCCCTTCTCTAAGACCTACAGAAGCTGAGACTGCCCTTAGCATTGTTCCCTCATGCATCCTGATTCTGACAAACTTGGGATAAGTCTCTCAGGATCTCCTTGGTTTCTTCTTCTCCTGACAATTTGCAGATACACTGACCTGTGTTGTGCAACTCTGAACTCCAGCACTGATCCTTCCAGGAGTCACAGTGCCCTCCAGCAGCCTCCCATCACCTTATATCTTCCACAAAAGCTTAAGTCTTTGATGGCATCATTTTGATACACAGCAATTAACAGCTTGCTCGAAGTGGAGTTGCTCCTGTTTTCTTTTACTGATAGTGATGCAAGTTGGTTAGTCCCACCAATTCCTTCTCCTGCCACATGATTATCCTTTGTTTAGTGATTATTCCTTCAATCTGAGGATGACTGGGTAGTCCTCAGTTCCAACCACCTATTTCCTTCCTCCTCCACCCTGGGAACAGGCGCCCACCGCAGGTGAGCAGCTCTGGGTAGTTCTGCTGCCTGAACTGGGCCACTGTCTCTTCATACAGGTCCCAGAAAGGCAAATGGGATCAGAGACTCACACTTACTGAGGCAGATTTGTTTCAATTTAAGCTGCTATGGAATCATACAAGAGTTACCTTGCTTTTTTTTCCCCTTATACCTGAGTCTGAGAGCACTGAGTTATTGCTACATGTAACTGACATGAGGGCAGCTTTGTCCTTCATCTGCACAAAGCAGAGGATTTCTGGAAACTGGCCTTGACTGGTTGGGTAGAATTCAACTAAATACAGAGATCTAGCTGAGCAAAAAGACAAGAAGAGCCACAATGTCTTAAGAAGTGCCCTACCAAGTCTCACCACTGCTTCCTCTGCTCCGTCATTCTGTCTTTAGCAGTCACAGCAACTGGTGACATTTAGGGACAGTGTGTGAACTGGCTGCTTTCCGCAGTCCAGTCTTTTCATATTTCACCACCATCTACAATCAAAAGATTACAGATATTGGAGACTATATCCATGTCTATTCCCTTTAGGATCTGTTAATGAATCAAGATTTTGTTCAAGCCCGTTTTGCAGCTTCTGATACCAGCTGCTTCCATAAGCCTCCTGTGGCAAAAACTTTAAGAAATTCCCTACCTGCTGCATAGGAAAAGTATTTTCTTTTACCACCACTAAACTGATCTGTTATTTTCAAGGAGTGCTCTTCTGTTCTAGTATTATGGGATTCAGTCAAGAACAGTCAGCCAAAGGCTCAAACTGTTTGTAACACATGCAGAATATTTTAATTACATGCTCAGTGTAGCTCCCTACAGTATAAAATCCTGTTCCAAAAGTCTTTCAGCCTGACATCCCCCTCACTTGTTGTCCAGGATAAGTCACTCTCTCTGTCAGGGTTCTAAACAACATTCTGGTCGTATTAAAGTGTTGTCTTTCCAGCAACAGCAACATGCAAACAGGCTGTCCCATAACATCAGCCGGGTGCTAAAGCCTCGCATCTGTCATCAGCGCTGTGTATCTCCTTCCCCTGAATGAACCTCAAACGAATCTGCACAACGCCTGCTCTCCCTGGCAGAGACATATTGCTGGAATATATAATGCAGTAGGCACAGATATAGAAATGAAAGGTGAACTTATTGCTATTTACCCCAGTAAAGGAAAACGTGTCAAGCAGAAGGTTTGCCCAAGTTATCATAGTTGTTTTTCAATGAGTTTTCTCATGTTATGAAATACATTTGGAAATAATACAGAGTTTCATATTTCAAGTTCCAGAACAATGTCAGAAACAAATGAAACTATTATTTCATAGAGCTTCAACAAGCTGTAAATGGACATATTTTAAAATATACTGAAAACCTAAGTAGAGGAAAATAAAAGGAAAAGCACGCAGTTTGAACACCTGGTACAGTGCTTATAAATCTGGTAAACAGTGGAAAAGAGTTAATCAGGACAGAACTCGGAGCAAAGGAACATACAGTAAGAATGTGTTAGCTTATGAGAAATAAAAATGGTTATGTCTTTGCTGTAGGTGTTTGCATTGGCCATAAAACTCCATGTACAAGCAAGTTCTTGCTGGTTCAGTGTGGGATCTTGACATGTTCCAAGCAGAAAGCTGGTGTGTTTAATAAACACTGAACCAAAGAAGGACCCAGAAGAGGCTGACCAACAATCTCCCTGTTGACTCCCCTTGAAGAAGGAGCCACAAAGGTGGGCCAGGGCAGGCAGGGCTCAGCTGGTCCCCAGAAAGGCCTGATATCACGGGAGAGGCTCAGCAGGATTTCAGCTCTTGCTTTAGTCCAAACTATTCAAGATGCAGAGTAGAGGAGCTTCATCTAGCCAGTTCCCTTGGTGCAGTGCTACTGTGTCACACCATATGGACCATCCTTCTGCTTTCCTGGGTAATCTGCTGTTCAACCATCTCCTGCAGTGGGGACTTCCCATGTGCATGTGCCTCAGGGTTCCTGTACAAAAAGAAAACAAAAACTCTTCCAGGAAATGCTTGCTTGTCATATGTGGTGTTTGATTTCCTTCTGCTGAGCCTCTTCTACCTCTGGTTGAAAGTTCTAGTCACCCAATAAGTCAATCATCACATTCATCTGGGAGCTCTGTGTCAAAGACAGTTTTGCAAGATATCCTCCCCTTTGTAAATAATTCAGTGGAATAAGCATTTGTAAGAGAGTAGGAAAAGACAGCAGTTAGATGCTGTTAGTTGTGTTTCCTCGAGGACAGGAATAGATCAGTTCTTCCAGCAGAGTAAACAGGTTTTGTCACACTTGTGCCAGCAAGGTTCAAACCATTTCTAAAGGCTTTATTCCAGCTGCCCCGAGCAGCCAGCTGTATATTTGTACTTTCTGATTTGCAAATGGGAATTTACTTTACAGCCAAGGAACATTCCTTGCTGCCTGTCTCCCTGTCTTCCTATTGCTGAAGGGTGTCTGCTTTCTGGAAAGCAAGAAGTAATAACCTTCAAAACTTTCTCCAGTTTTCAGAGGACTTTTTTTTTTTTTGCCTCAGGTTGCTGTTAAAAAGCACTCTCTATTTCACTGTGAATTAATTTCATAAGGTTTTTCAAGCACTGAGCAACTTTCAATACAATAATTTAATGGTAATACAAGCTTTAAATTTGCTGCTTACAGAATGAAGAGCCAATTTTTTCCAAGGATGGTCGGAAGTTTTTCTTTGTCCGAGCCATTCCCCAGGGAGGACGCGGGAAGTTCTACCACATTGCCATGTCATCATCACAGGTGACTCACTCATTGCCGCTGCCTTGGGTCTCACTTGAATCAGAAAGCAATAAAAAGTAGTATCTGTGCTTGTACCAACAAGTCTGGAAGGTGCAAATGTAGGATGTGGGTCTTGCACATTAAAAAAAAAAAAAACAAACACCTTCAATGGTTTACTGGGCTCAAGATAAAAAGAATTTCCAGATGAGATACTTGGAATAAAAAGGTCAACCAACTATCTCTTTCCAAACAATATCATTGCTTTGTTTTGGTTTGGTTTGGTTTGGGTTTTTTTAATGCCTTCTTAGTTGTACATAAGTAAGTAAATCCCTGCACTGCCATAAAGGATTAATCAGAAGCTCGTGGGCATGCTGGATTAGAGGAAAAGGTCTGAAGCTGTTCTGTGCTGAATTCATCCCATTATCTTCAGTCAAGTTATGGTTAAGATGATTCTGACTCTCTATTATTTCAATGCCTGCAGATTCACAGAAGCAGCAGGGGGAGGGGTGGAAATTGCACATGCATGGTTTATTTTTAATAGGCAATGGAGTCAAAAGAGCGTTCTTTTTTCAGAAGAGAAGCTTTGTTCAGATATCTTCTTTTAAAAATAAAGAAATCTAATTCTCTTTTCTTTCTGGCAGCCCAATACTAGCAGCGACAACTTACAGTCTATTACATCTGGTGATTGGGATGTGACAAAGATATTGGCATATGATGAAAAGAGGCATAAAATGTAAGTAAACTTTGGTCTGACAAATCAGTCTCCCTTTTTTTAACCCTGGATTGTAGGGTTAGTTACAATGGTGTTGTATATGCATCTGAAATGTATGCAGGAAAATGCATAAGGAGATGGAGATAAGAGAGCATGAGAATCTGTCTCCATTTTGGCTTAACCTCTCACATCACTACATATATCTTGTCTTATTTTGATTTTCTCTGTATAGTTCAAACCTTTCTTTCTGTGAATATGAAATACATCTGTTCAGAGGAGTGATTTCACCTGCTGGAAATTCTGATATTAACCTCTGAAGGAAAGACTATATTCATTGACCACCTAGATAGTCAGTTTTAGAAAAAATCCTTTCTTGACCTGCAAAAATATCAATGCATTAGAAAAAAAGTAGTTAGTTAGCACACCAAAAACCCCCTTTCTTCACACTTGCCCTTTATGCTTGTAAAATAATTTCTGTAAATGTTTACTCTTAAAAATACATTTCAAGAAATTATGTAAGAAAATGTTTGAAAGGTTTTCTGGAATCAAATACTATATAGATTCCTTTCCAGGCAAAGTTTTAGCTAGATACGAGTGATATACAAAGGCTTAAATTATAAGCCTTAAATTAAAGTTGATTTTTGAGTGAACTTCCCAACCTGTACTATAGTAGCATGAAATGTGACTGTGAGATTCTTTCCCCAACCTGTTTCACATCAGCATGAAATAAGATTGTGACACTTTTACTCCTACAATTCAAAGCCAGGTGCAGAATACCAAAATAGTAGCTTCTTGGACATATCTCTGATCCTGGCCAAATCCAGGATGTGCCTGTGTGAAGTGAAACTTACCCACCAGATATTACCGCGCCTTTCTATCTGCGTAATTTGTTTGTTAGATTGTATAAAAGCAGGACTCTCTCACAGCAAAGATGGAGACCTCACCTACAAGTGGACACACTGTGTAGGACTTCCCAATTGCTGGGAAATGTTCTCCAAATCCTTCGCTGTGACGGAGCTCCCCAGCTGATGTACAGGATCCAGATGATGATAAGTATTTGGGCAATTGGTGATGTATCTTTCTTAATCACTATACTTTCTCTTAAGCAGTAATGATTAAGTGCATTACCCTGTTTAACTCTGTACCTTGCTTATTTTTTGGTTCCTTGTTTTAAACTAGAGTAAAATAAGTTTGTTTCAAGTATTCTGTTGGTGTCTGTGTCCTTTTTGCCAGCCCCGTCAATTGGCAAAACATTGGGCCAAACAACAAGGCTCTTGCCTCTCAGTTTCTTAAGGTCACTGGACAGATGAATAAAAAAAACCTCTGAAATAAGATAAATGTTGAATGATCATTAAGAACACGATGCTCCTTCAAGGTTTTGGATGCCCTCAATTACCAGTAACTCTAGTACAATATAAGGGTCTTTATCACTTGGCAGAGTTAGGTAGCAAACTAGTACCAAAGTCTTACCTGCAGTTTAACTGTCCAGTCAAGCAGGAAATACCAAGTACCATGTGTGCAATCAAAATGTACATCTAGGCAAGTGCAGCTCATTGGAAGCAGATTGGCTGGGCTGAATATCCTGCCTCACTCCTTATTCACTCCACAGACACTACATTGGTTCCCATAGTCTGTCATTAGTCATACAAAATGCTTCTGGGAGATCAATCTGGATCCTGCAGGTTGGACTGAGGTTGGCCTCTTCCAGCAGCACTGGCTGATTCAAGATCAAGTGGCCTTCAGAAGCTGTCACTGCACAATAGGGCTTTCGTTGTTTAGCCAGAAAGAGTTCACAACAGTCTCAGCACAAATCAAGGGCAGTGAAGTATTCTTCAACTTCATGCTCTGTCTTCCCTGAAAGTCCAACTCCCTTTTTCAAAGAGGACATTTCAGTGGCTTTTGCATCAGACCCCAGTTAGTTAGATATCTATCTGGGCAAAGAATAAAAAGTAGTCAGAGAAGTAAAAACGGGTTCTAGAGAAAAAAAAAAAAATGATTAAAGGAAATTCTGAGCCATAAATCATGAGGTAAAAATGTGAAGGTCTTTCACTCAATCCTTTTTGATCTGCTGACATGATCAATCTGGAGCCCAAACATTTCCATGATGGTTTTATCTGCAGTGCAGCCTACGATATACTTGCTTGAGCCTCTGCACTGATGTGTCTCTCTGTATGTTATTCTAATTCAGCCTAAACTTTTCTTGCCTTTGAAAGATCAGAAAAACGGTGATGTGAATGAAGATGTTTTTGTATGAGATACTTATAAACAACCTTCTAATGATACAACTGCCTTTTGATTTTAATTTTTTTTTCCTCCAGTTATTTCCACAGCACAGAAGATTTGCCAAGGAGGCGACATTTATACAGGTATGTGCTTTACTAACTTCACATAAAGAATTTCCCATTTTTTCAATCTTATGTGAACCATTACATAGAAACAGTTTCTTATGTGTTAGTATTTAATGGCAATGCAAGATCTTGCAATATAACACTGGAATAGACAGAACAGCGTAACAACAGCCAAAAAAATGCTTGACATTTGGAAATGTTTTACATTTAGCAATTTTCTCATTTTATTGCAAATTTTAAATTGGTGACAAGATTGATAAACTGTCACAAAACTTTCCAACAGAACTGCTTAACACTTGAAAGAATTCAGAATTATGTAAACTAATGGTATAAACTGATTTCGTACTTATTGAATGGGAAGAAAATCTCATTTTAAAAGCTGAGTCAAGGTGCAGCTGCTCCAGAGCTGCTGGCATGGGTCAAAGTGTTTCCCACCCCTCATTTATCTTGGTATGCAGCTCACCCTGGTGCCTCATTAACCTCACCTCCTCATAGAGGCAACGGGGAAAGAGATGCCCAAAATCTCAGTGTCCTTGATCTTTGATTACACAGTGATCTTGGCTTCACTTCAGATGTTTAATTTCCTGCATTGCGTAGTTTGACCACCTCTCATCCCAGCCCAAGCTCAGCAGCATCCTTGGCACCACTGGACCTCTGACAGCTTATATCAGATGAAGATCTGGGTTTGGTTTTTTTGTGGGTTTTTTTTCCTTTTTATGTCTGATTTAGTAGCTTGTAAACAGGATTTAAGCCAGAGACATGACCAGAGCATAAACACCAACTCAAGACCTACGCAGTTCAGTCTCTGTGGCTCTATACAGGTTGTTCTCCTCATCTCTTTCTACCTTGAAACAGTAGGAAAAACACTCGTCTGCTTTGCAGTAATACTGGAAATATCTATTAGTTAATATTCTTGAAACATTTTGAAGTTTCAAAATGCTGTAGAAATGCAAAATTTTATTTATTATTTGCTAATAATCTGTAATTCATTCTTCAGCTTACAATAGACACGCTTCTGTGCACATGGACAGGCCACGTTACCTTCTTCAAAAATGGACCCCTAAATCAAATCTTTCCTTTCTACTTGGCTGTTATAAAAGCCACTATTTAAACCCCCAAAAAGGGCTTTGGCCTCTGAGGCAGCTGCCAGCAAATCAGACCAGTGAGGTAACCAGTAAGAAACTTAAAGAAAGCAATTCCAGCTCTTTATTGTCTGTTATAATGTAAGTAGGTATAGAAATACTGCTCCATTGTTTCATGCCTTCATTCACCGAGTTATGACTTCCTCATGTGGAATTGCAATCATCATTTTCTTTTCAAAAAATATACCTTCCTCCATAACCACCTGACCTTGCAAAAAAAGACATCAGTATCCTTTTATATATTCTCCATTCAGGCAAAAAAGCCATTACTGCTATTTAAACTCAACCAAATGGAAATGCTTTGTCTCTTACTAATGTTGAACACATTATATTTATGTTCTTGTCCTACAGTACAGTAAGGTTCAAGTAACGTTGCTTCCAGATAACATTTGCTCAGTGACCTTCATGGACTTGTATTAACTTTTTCAGCGCAAGCACAAATGGAAACTTCAACAGGCGGTGTCTGTCTTGTGATCTGATTGAAAACTGTACTTACTTCAGTGCATCCTTCAGCCACAATCTGGAATACTTCCTACTGAAATGTGAAGGTATGTTGGGTTTTGTTATTGCAGTTGTTGTGACTAAGGATAGGATGTAGAGCCAGCATTGATATCTTTAGATATCCTGTGTACTTGTGGACAGCTTTGCAAGACTGGCCATAAATATCTGAGTCACTTTGCTTTTAAAGCTTTACTCTTAACATTTTTTTTATTTTGTATGTTTTTAACTAGAAAGCTGATGTGTGTAATATTTTTCTGTGCATATCTGACTATTGAAGATAGAAGCACATTCCTCTAACCACTCCAAGCATTCTTAAGTTAAAGTAACAGCAAAACCTAGAGCACATAAAATGTCAGAAATTTTGTGAGAGATAAACCAGCGAGGTGGGATTAACTGTGGGTGACTGGGACTGAGTTCCACATGCATAAATTCATACCAGTACTGTGAACAGGGGCATTCAAAGTAAGTTACAATGAAGACAGTTTGCCAAGAAAAGGCAGTTTGCAGAAAGCTACCTAATGGACAATGTGAGTGCAGAACATCTAGTGTTACCCTGCTCATTCATAATAAATTTACCTTAACTTGGAGTAATCTACAGCTCCAACAGAGATTTCCTGTGTTGAAAATGCCTTCGATTATCCAAAAGGCTAGGGATAGAGGGCATTTCAGAAGAGTCATAGAAGTCAGCTTTTTCCAGCTCTATTAAGAATAATTGCAGAACTCAATAGCGTTTAATCCTATGTAATTTAATTCTGCTTAATTACAATATATTGCACATGCCAGGCATGCACACCAGTTGTCCACTGCTATGACTGAAGCTACTCAAATGGCTGTGTGCCTTCTAAAACAAGTATTGCAAAGCAGCAAACCAACAAGAAATGCCTTCTTTTCAACACCTCCGGAGAAAACATGTGTGTAACATAAAGACAAGTGTGTGCTGTCATGGAGCAGCTAAGTACTCTCTCTGCTGAACGTCAACAGCCTGTTTGGCAATGCACGGACTGCCCCTTCTCTGGTTAGCAAGTATTCATTGGTGCCAGTAACTGTTCGTGGTCAACACCAAGGATAAAGAAGTATTTGAGATGGCAAAATGGGAAATAACCAGGATAATCAAGATAAAGTGGAGAAGTAGAGTGGTTAAAATAATACCAAGCAAAACATCTGGACGTGGACATTTGTAAAAACATGTTCTGCCCCAAGAAGGAAAGGTAGACTGTATTTTGGTGGCATTTATAGGTATTAAAAAATACCTGGCAATACTGTACCGAGAAGTAGCATTAACAGTACAATGGACTAATTAACAGACTTCCTGTAACTCTCTGAATATATAATTATGGTAGACATAGGCAGAGAAGTGTCATTTCCCAATAAACATTCAGTTCTGTAGTAAATGTTAGTAAGTTTATGGAGTTTGTCTCTTTAAAAGAAAAACCTTGTGTATTTTTCTTCTTGTTTTCATTTTAAGAAAAGCCATCTGTAGCTACTAGAGACAACGTCCTTTTCCTCTGCACCAAGATAATTGCTTTACCATAATTACAAGCATTTGTGAATAAAAAGATTAGGGTTTCTAAAGGGTCTTATCAACAGTTATGAGGTGATATGTTTGTATTACAATATATCTCATTCACAAAAACCTGCAGTGATACCTGAAGAGATTAATGAGTTTTATTAGTATGTATATTAATCCAAGTACAGTAGGTAATGATTTTGCATAACAAACTGTGGACCAGATTCTCAGCTGCTGTAAACAATATCTGCATTATAGAGTTAGATCTGTTTACATCTGCTGAATATGTCTTTGTCTGAATTTTCATTACACAGGACTAAATTCTCAAACGGTAATCTCAGTGTAGCACAAACACCGCACAGCTTGAACTATGAACCTAATGTCAGTGTCTCCATTCAGATAACTTTGCAAAATATACATACATGAGAAAATACAGAGATCTTGGTAGGATTTTGATTTTCAATTATTTTATAAGAATATCAGTCAATTACATTTGGTGGAGTTATTCCTGAAATATATCTGAGTATATATTTCTGAAATATAAATGTAACTGAAAGTGAGAGGTTGTTCAACTTCTTTGCTTTAAGCAGTTTACAGCAATAACATTTCTTTTTAGCATGTTTTGTGTAGGATCCATCTAACTTCGGGTATTTGGTATGGGTACATTTACAGCAGAGACAACTCCCTTTGGGTTCTGTTACAGCTGATGTGGGTCAGATCAGTGGAAACATCTGTTCTGGCTGAAATGCAGACTTCTGGATAAAAATGATCATTGCCTCAGGCTTTGGTCATACAACTAGGGTAGAGCTGTTGCAGTTTGATGGAGAACCACTTGGATCCACTAATAGGAGACTTCTTTTTCCACAGCTCCTCAGGCTGCTTAGCTAGACCTTGCCTCACTTTTTCAGGAGACTATTTTATTGCTCATAAGCAGTGATATTCTAGTATACTCTTGATTAGCAGGAAATCATATTTGTTCATATACACATATAACATAGATGGAAAAGCTATTTGAATGAGGATACATCAAGGAGCCCTGCTTATCCTGCAGTTGATCAAGCAGGTAGAGCTGCAGCAGCCCACCAGAGTGGACAAGTGTTTGTCTTACCATGTCTGCTACACAAGGGTTTCTGATAGGAGTTCACACCTCTGCTTCCCTCAAAAAATCACAGTTGGAGTCAATGTTAATGACCAGACAGTAGCAGACGGTACCTATTGCTGCTTGGTGCTTTCTTCTCCATCTATATTGTATAAAAGCACCCAGAGCTCAGGTCTAGCTGTATACTCTGACTGCCTACACAAGTGTGTGTTTGTAGCAGTAACTGATGTATGACTTAATGTCAGACCCATATGTATCTTTGAAGATAGTTGCACATAAATGATTTTACTCTGATAAAGCCTGTAATAATTGAAAAAATTGTATTTTCTCAGCTGTCCACAGGACAAATACACGGGCAAATAATTATGGCTTGAAAACAATTTCTGTACTGACGCTTAGCAACTAACCTCCACCATACCTCCATACCTCAGTTTCACTCTATCTCTTTTATTGGCTTGCTTTGTGACCTTCAGTTGCAAACTTCTCTGAGTTTAGAGACACAGAGATGACTGTGGCTCAGCTTAACCTCTCTAAAAATGGATGGCAAGTTTTGTAAGATTTGATTAAGCAACCGATGCTTATAAATGCTCTATGATACTTAAATGAAAGTCAGTGGAAAGGGAAAACATATACTTTAAAAACAAACAAACAAAAACCCAAACTAGAAAGCTCTGGCATTGCTCATTTGATCTCAAAGGTCAAGAGTGGGAAGTTTTCTACTCACTGATCTGGTACCTTACAGGCAGCATATAATTGTCCTAAAGGATTTTTTGCTGTCCTGCAGACTATGCTTAACAGCAGTGCTACCTGGCACAGACTGAAATGAGAGAAGTATGCTATAATAAAAGATAACCTCTCCTTCAAGAGGACAATGTAATGCTTACTGTCAGGAGGCAACATTTATTGCAATTACTCAGTCCCAGAATGCTAGTTACCTTATTTTTCATCTAATTTTATATTCTCATGATTGAATTACTGTAGCAGGACCTAAGGAAACATGACGCTTTGCAGACTGCTGTTAGATTATCTCCTCTAGACAATGTCGAAGAAGCAATATGTGCAGGAGCAAGGTCAATCCTACTGTCATTTTCATCATAAAATATGGGCTTACACTTCTGTCTTCTCTCATAAACCAGCACAGACACTGCCACTGATTCCTTCTAAGACAAACAGAAAAGATCTGGATGGAAGGATTTTGCTACTTTATACATAAATTTAATTGCGGGTGGGGTTTTGTCATCTGGAATGGGATGTAAAATTCGATTGCATAGAGAAAAGGGTAAGTTCTGGCTGTGGAAAGCTATTTATTCCTGTTTCTTTAGTGGGGCCAGACATGTATAGTGCAAGGAAGAATGGCCCTGAACCAGTAAAGCAGTAAAGCCCATTTTAAGTGATAGCTCCTTCTTCTCTGAAGGATGAAACCTTATCAATGACTACCACTGTAGTCAGTTCAGTAGTGTTTTAGTATTTCCATTTTAAATAGTTGCACCTTGTCTCCAATGAATCCTTCCCTTGCTCCTCAGTGTAACCTGCCAGCACTATTAAAACTTCAGTCCTAAAGAGGTTGTTCATGGGGGAAGAAAGGATTTGCAAGTGTTTCTTCTGCAGACTAACTTGTGCTCTGACACTCCATGTAGCAGGTTTGGTTACAGCATCCTCACTCATAAAAAATCTGTGAAGTCACTGAGACTTTTGTGTGAACTCGCAGAACTGGCAAAGATTCTCTGGATCGTGGAGTTCAAGTCCCTGCTATTGCAGACAGCAGCATCGTAGCATCCTTTACATTAGTTGGTCAGTCTCCATCAACTGACCTTAGCTATAGGCTGATCTTGGCCAGCTCAATGCACTTGGGGAGGTATGAGGTTCCCCACAAAGGGTTAATGCCTTCTGGCTCTGAGACAAGAGGAATAGTGAGGAAGACCTCTGGCACATGCATACATCACTGCAATTAATGCCATTTAATACATGATGAAAATGTTGGGGGTGTTCATGGAATGCCTACCAGCCTGCTAATTAAAGTTTTCCATAATCATGCATTATCAGGAAAGGATTAATCATTTTTAGGGGTGACACAAAGAAAATTGGTAGTTACACAGAAGGGAGAGGACTGTAATGAGGGCTAAGAGAAAACTATTGTCTTGTGCTTGGCATGGTGACTGGTATAGAGAAGTGCCTTTGCCACTGCGCTGTGTATTATCCTTTCATTCACTGACCAATTTGGGAAAAATCAGCTTTCACTTTGAGAAAACAGTGTAACAGAACAGGGAACATTATTTTCTTCTCTAGGTTTCAAGTCTTTCCTCCTTTTCCAGTGACAGCAAGATTGTTTTGATTCAAAATACCATAAAATCACTATAGTTTATCCTAGCTCTTTGAAGATTGTCTCTGCAGGAGCCTGTGTTTGTAGCTGACTAGTAGTCTTTACTGTCAGTATTATGCAG